CTAAAGCCACAGGCTCTCTGCTAATACCCACCTGCCAGGATCTGCCAGGAAAGTTGGGCTGGACCTCTGAGTCCATCCATTCGCTTAATGCGCGCAGGGTGATCTCCGGCACCTCCGAGACCAGCTTCCGGCTCCGGTGCTTGACCGTCACCCCATCCCTGCTCCTCGGGGCCCCACTGCCTGTGCGTCAGGGCAGCCGTGCAGCCGTGCAGCGTTCGGATGGGTTCCGGGCTCCAGTAAAATGATGCCTGGCAGGATTGTCCTGCACTATGAATGCTATTTATTTTCAAAGACAAATGGTTCTCTCTAAGGCATTCTGAAACATCTGAAACACTACCACGTCCCTCACTGGGGCTTTTATGGCAACTAATAGTACAATTAAGGTTTACTGAACACAGGATCAAGACTTGATAGTCACTTCAATGTACAGGAGCCCGTGAGATGGATGTTACTGATAAATCATTGTTCTTTTCCAGGTGAAGGGAAGACAAGGTTCAGAGAGGTAAAGACAAGGTTCTCAGAGCTGCTGGCTACTGGAACCAGAATGTCATTCCACGGGCTCCACCATCTCTTCTTAAAACATTTTTATTTCTTGCCTTGCCGGTTTGGCTCAGCAGTTAGAGCATCGGTCTGCGGTCCGGAGAGACCCGGGTTCGGTTCCCGCTAAGGGCATGTACCTCAGTTGCAGTTTGTCCCCGGCCCTGGTTGGTTGTGCGGGTGGCGACCACTCGATGTGTCCCTTCACATCGATGTTTCTCTCTCTCTCTGTTCCTCTCTCTCTCTCCCATTGATGTTTCTCTCTCTCTCTCTGTTCCTCTCTTTCCCTCCCATTCTACCGGAACAAAAAAATGGGAAAATGTCCTCAGGTGAGGATGATAAAAAAAAAAAAAAATTTATTTCTTTATTGATTTTAGAGAGATTGGAAGGGAGAGGGAGAGAGAGACAGAAACATCGATGAGAGAGAACATCGATTGGCCGCCTCCTGCACACCCCCCACTGGGAATCAAGCCCACAACCTGGGCATGTGCCCTGACCGGGAATCGAACCAGCGGCCTCTTGGTGCAGGGTCGACGCTCAACCACTGAGCCACACCGGCCGGGCGCCTTCACCGTCTTTGAATTCTTTCTGATTGCCTCGAGATTTCTCTTCCCCAGCTTGTTCCAATCCACACTGCCTCCCCCTGTTTTCCGAATGACCTCTTAATTATTCTTGAACAGTCGTCTTAAACCTCACCCCTTCTGCTCTTCCCGAACGTTGCTGGGTGGAAGTCGATGCGTCTGCGGGGATCACACGGCCCCTCTACACCTCTCGGGCCGGGCATGAGAGGAAGGACTCCTTACTAATTGACGTTTATACGTATCATATCTCTACTCAAAAGATCTGGGGAGACTGTCATTAAAGGGATACTTCTATAAATATCGTTTGTTAAGAAATTTAATACTGTTTCATTTTTATGGGAATGCTGTTGGTTTTTCTTCTGAAATGTATAACTAGCACTTTAGAATACCTTTTTGAACTAAGCCTCCCTACCCTTTGGTTTTCTACTAACAGCTTGGAGAGATGTTAACAAGCAATTTGTTTGCTTGTTAAGCAGATAACTATTTGCCATCTGGTGACCCCCGGTTATCCTAATATCTGTTCTCTCCGCCGATTCTCCTGCGCCTCCGCATGCCTGTTTTCTGTGTCCCTGTCTTGTCCCCTGCTCGGCTGTAGGTGAGTGTTAGCATGACTGTCCCATTCCTCACTTAAAATGTGCATGTGGACATTTTATCTTCTGTGACCAGTGATGGGACATTCAGGTCCTAGAGATGAGGAAGATATTTCTGGTCAGTGGGATCTTACGATTTCCTTCAAGTCACACCCTATTACGTCTTTGAAGGCAGCGTTGTGTTTTTCTTTCCTGTAATCGTTCTTCCAAAATTGGTGGAGAACCCTTTGCAGTTGATACAATGATGGTGTGACTGACGAATTACACATAGGAAAGTGCTCCTTTCTGCCAAGATACTTGCATCTGAATATTGCAAATCTCTGTCACCATCTCTTTTTGAAGATAAGACTATTTTTATGCAGAGACAATGAAGGCTTACATTGTACAGATACAGAGTTTGAAAATGTGTATCTAAAAATAGAAGAAAATTATGAATACATCCAGGTTCTGGTATCACAAACCTACCCTGGCCAGTGTGGCTAAGTGGTTGAGCGTCGACCCTGCACCAAGAGGTCACCAGTTTGATTCCTGGTCAGGGCACATGCCCAGGTTGTAGGCAAATCCCCAGTGAGGGGCATGCAGGAGGCGGCTAATTGATGTTCTCTCTCATCAGCATTTCTATCTCTCTTTCCCTTCCTCTCTATCTAAAATAAAATAAAAAAAATTTAAAAATTAAAAACAAACAAAAAACACATGCTATATATGACTACACACAGCCTATTAATTTCACCTCATTTCATAGACAGGACCGAAGGTACAAGGAAGTCAGGTGGGTGGACAGGTGCCAATCCAATGGCTTTGCCCCTCAGTCCACAGCTTTTTGCTTATGGTCACCATGTGGCATCTGGTTCACCCAACACGAGGCAAGGACCTCCAAGGGCCAAGCGGAGGGACTACGTCGAGGTGGTAGAATCAGCTCATCAGCAAAACAACATTCTGGACGTGTCCTGTACTGGAGAGCAAGGGAGAGGCAGGTGGCAAAGCAAGCTGGTTATTCTGTTCCATTCGTTACTTGTATCCGTCTCTGGCCATTTTAGCACAACCTGAAGGCGGAGGGCCCAGGTGTTCCTGAACTGCTCACACCATGCATGTTATGCCCACATCTGGATAACCTTTGTGGCTTGCCCATAAATATACACACCAGGAGACTATTCGACACACATGGAAACTTACTTTCCTGGCTTACTGTGGCTAGGGTCATCATTAAGTTTAGATATCTAAGACTTGATCCTGTGTTCTTATATTGGTGTTTTTAAGAAAAAAATAAATAAAACTCAGTGAATTAGATACATTTGGACTATCATGGTAACACCTTCTAGAACTAACGAGAGTCTGCATTAGTCAGCCGCATACTTTTTTTTAGCAAACATATTCTCATGCACAGCTAATTCTCTTTCTCAGTCATTCAGTGGTAGACTCATCCGCGGGTTCATGAGAGGGACCCCAGGTCATATTTAGTTTCATGTGCCACCGCATGGGGTTCTAGTCACTTTACAATGGTAATGCCACGTCCGTCAAATTTGAGACCTAAGACATACTGTTCACGGTAAAACTAAAGCTTTTGAACCAAATTTTCCTACAGTTAATTTAAAAAAATTTTAATCCTCACCTGAGAACATTTTTCTATTTATCTTCAGATAGAGTGGGAGGGAGGGAGAGAGAGAAACATTGATGTGAGAGACACATGGACTGACTGCCTTCCAACCAGGGCCGGGAACAAACCGCAACCAAGGTACATGCCCTTGACCAGAATTGACCCCGAGACCCTTTGGTCCTCGGGCCAATGCTCTAACCACTGTGTAAAACCAGCCAGGGCCCTACAGTTAATGTTTTGGGAAAATGACATGAAGTATTTTAGATATTTTATTTTTTTCTTGTGGTTAATCCTTACCTGAGGATATTTTTCCATTGATTTTTATTTTTTATTTATTATAGTTTAGCTTTTTGTTGTTAATCTTCACCCAAGGATACTTTTGCATTGATTTTTAGATAGAATAGAAGGAAGGGAGAGAGAGAGAGAGGGAGAGAGAGAGAGAGAGAGAGAGAGAGAGAGAGATCAATTAGTTGCCTCCCCTGACTCTGACCTGGGCTTGGGATGAAACCTGCAAACCAGGTATGTGCCCTTGACCAGGAATTTAACCCACAACCCTTCAGTCTGATGGCCAACACTCTAATCACTGAGCCAAACCAGCCAGGGCAGTATTATTTTCTTTGTAGAAAACAGACTGTTCATTTGTGTGGAATATTTGTCCTATGCTTTATGCTGAACAAATTGAAACAGACATAAGTTTTTCCTCTGGAATCTTCTGACAAATTCTAAGAAGCTGTTAGGACTGGACAGATTAAAAACAGTCTTTTAGTGGAAAAATAACTTCCTTGTGTCTTTGGGGGAAAAAAAATCACATGCTTATAAGTTTTTAATTTATATTTGGATTTATTGATAGTCAGGACCATGATGAATTCACCTTGTAAGGAAAAAGATCTCAAAGAAACCACATTTTCTACCCTTATACTAATAAAAGCATAGAACTAAATGAAGAAGCTAATAGATTGTTAACAGCTTAGAATCATCAGGAATTTTCTCCTGTAGGAGATCCATGCAACATAGAAGTCGCGTTATGATTATAATGGTACATTTTACTGGTAAAACATTTCTCAAGAATCCATTTTTTGACATTGCTCCTGGTATAACACAGTTGATTGTGCTGTGGCTACTAAGTTTGTCTACTAATTAACATTAGTACATGCACTCTATCTAGAGATTACATCCACGCCAGACACGCAATTCATAGTTACAACTTCTAAAGGACTAACCTGTGTATTTTGACAACAAAATTGCTTTAGTAAGAAAACATTCATTAGTTGGCGTCTATAGTAACAACGTTACAATACTGGCGCCATGAAGAGAGACCTTTCTTTTTCACAGGTGTCCACGGAGCAGCACGTAGATACTCCACGCGTCGTGCTATTCATGGGATCAGAGTTCCAGAGGTCATCCCTGTGGGGGTGTTTCTCTTCGGGAGCTAGGACTCAGCTCATAGTTCAATTCTTGATACTTTATTTCTACCCTATTTCATTTTGTGCTGTTTTTTTTTTAAACATAAAAGAACAGCCCTGGCCGGTTTGGCTCAGCGGTTAGAGCGTTGGCCCGCAGACCCAAGAGTCCCGGGTTCAGTTCCCGCTAAGGGCACGTACCTCGGTTGCGGTTTGTCCCCGGCCCCGGTTGTGGTCGTGTGGGTGGCAGCCAGTCAATGTGTCTGTCTCACATCGACGTTTCTCTTTCTCTTTCTCCCTCTCTCCCTCCCACTCTCTCTGAAAATAAATGCAGGAATGTCCTCGGGTGAGGATAAAAAAACCCAAAAAAACGACAAAGCCAATACTTTCAGTGGACTGTCTTCAGTGGAAGCTTTTGAGTGGTTGTCAGGAGTTGTTGGACTGGATCGACTTCAGAAGTTTCTGGTACATTTCTGACTTTAGGAACCGCGGGTACGAGTCTCTCGCCATGTGCATGTACACTATCTTCTGAGCCTCCTCAAAGCACGTTTGGGTGGGTTCTTGAATGTCCCTGATGATGGCTTCTCTGGTCGAACTGTCAATGTTAATCTGAAAAGCGAAATCGACCAGTAGGCAGGGTTAGCGATGGAAATATAACGGAAAGGTTTAATTTATTCTCCCTCCTCCGTTCCAGTGGACGGGGTCGCTTTGGGTGCAGTTTCATAGGTTTCGGAAAGAACATCAGAGATAAACTCCCTGCTTCTTTAAAGTAAACACCCATCTCTGTCCCACATACAAATGCCGGAGGCGCAGGGCCTGGAGGGCGCAGACACGTTGTTTGTTTAGGAGGTCACAAGTGGCCTGCTAGTCTGCAAACCAGGAAGTTTACCAGATGGAGGTCTTTTTTTATGGAAATAAGGGAAGTTGGTGCTATTTTAAACTTTGCCTTCCTTAATAGACATGAGTGTCTCTTTGCCTGAAAATGCCCCAAATGGGAAGAAGGCGAAGAGACACAGAAATAAGAGAAGCGGTCATTTCGGGAGAGCTAGTCTTTTCCAGAGTTTTGTGGAACTAGCCAATCAGGTAGGGCTGGCCTGCGGGGTAGGAACCTCATCCACCAGCCTGTACCCTTGTCCCCCGCTGACCAGAACTTTCATTCCACATGCTGTCCCCACCAGGAGGGGTCTCAGGGAATCGGGGCACCGCTGTTTGCCTCAGGCGGTGGCCGGTGATGGCAGTGTAGCCAGGTGACTGCTGGCTTTGCGGTTTAAACCCCGGTGGGCAGTGAGTTCTGGAGTTGGAGGCACAGACTTTGCCCAGCACCACAGGGGATGTCAACCTGCCCATTTGGTGACTGTAGTTCCTTCTACAAAGCCAGTTCTTTGGAAATGCCTTCTCTAGGGAGTTCCAATAAATCAATGAGGAGGGGCTGAGGAGCCACCCTGACCCGAGTGTGAATCCTGACTTCCCTACGTCACTGCTGTGCCACTGACGTCAGTGACCGTCTCTGGTCCTCGGGAGTCTTATCTGTAAATCCGGCGGACGGCACTGGTTCTACAGCGCAGTAGGAGCGCCTGGCCCATCCGTGTGCTCGGCAGAGGGTAGCACCCTCAGTTCCCCTTGCTCTCGCTGGTGGGTAGTTACCTCTCTCGGGGACTGTGGCTGGATGTAAACCTTATAAAGCCTCTTGGCCTGATACATCCTGCTCCGTCGGGAGGCAATTTTCTTGTAGGTCTCACACGCCACCCAGAACTGAATGTTCTCCTCACTGTGTTCCGTCTTCAGATACGCTGCGTAGGCCACTGGGCCATCTGAAAGTCACGGAGAAATCACTTTGTTTTCATGGGTCCAAATTATTAAAAACTCTGAGAAAGACATCATGCCAGTTAAAAAGAAAGTCTGGATCAAAGCTCCTAAACTATTTAACAAGTGAGTATTATATAATATCACACACACACACACACACACACCGTATCACACTCAGCTCTACACACCTGCAGTACGTTCTGACAATGCCAGTCAGAGGTGTGATCACACCTTCATGCCTTTATTCTGAGTCACTCAGAGTAACATGTCACCAGTGTGGGTGGTTCTCAGATAGGAGAGGACACAAGGACCCAGAAACACGACTGATGTCAGATTAGTGGGTAGAACCCTGATCATAAGAAGTCTGAGACCTCAAGCCTACCTGGAGGTCAAGAGCAAGGTCTAGACCCTCAACAGTCAGGTCAGGGGTGACAAGAAAACATCTTTTCACGTAGATGTGATCAGCTGATCAGACTGCACAGCCTGGGGTGTTACTCAATATCCAATGAGAGCAAGAGAATGTGGAATAGGTGGAATATTCAACTTCATATTCCTGGTTTATGGAGAAATGGCGGGCCAGGGGAAGAATGGGATTGGGAGGGGGCGTTGAAAACTGTCTTCGACTCTGGAACAGGACGGTGGGGTGTGTGCAACAGAACCATGAAGATGGCACACGATGCCAGAGATGATTATCCTCGGCTCTGGTCGTACACTGCCTTTCCCGAGTGGGTAGACACAGGCTACCACGTGACAGGGGCTGTTCCTATGGAAGCAATTTTGTAGGTGCTAGAGTTTGAAGAAGCTCGGACAAATGTAACACATTAGTAAGAATCCTTGGGAGGACCAAGTGTTCTCAAGATTCAAGATGAACACTCTGAGATGAATATTCAACCTCTTCTGGTGATGACGAAGTCTCCTGGCATCTCTGAGAAAATGAATTGCTAAATGATGGAACAACGTGAGTTTCCGGGGACAGCGACAGAAACGTGTGTGTGGGCATGTTGGCATTCTGACGAAGAACGTCTGGACCAGTGTCGTGAACTGTTACATGTAACAAGTGGGATGGAATGTTGAGTAAAATCTTATCATCCAAGTTCTTAACATAAGAGATTAGGTCAAGCTTCCTAGGCTAGACTCCTTGACTTCTACTGGCTCTGTTAACCGTGACACAAAAAGAAAGGTAACAGTTAAGATATTTTGTATCCTGTGGTACGTTTACACAATGGAATACGATGCAGCTGTAAAAAAGAGCGATCTCTTACCCTTTGAGACGACACGGAGGGACCTGGAGACTTTTATGCTGAGCAAAATAAGCGAGTCAAAGAAAGACAAGTACAATATGATCTCACTTATATATGGAACATAACAAGCAAAATAAGGTGTTGACAAAAAGAGATCCAGAGACATGGAAGTAGGGAGCAGACTGACAAACCTCAGAGGGCTCTAGGCTGGGAGGGAAGGGAAGAGATAAACCAAAGAACTTACATGCATATATGCACAACCAATCCACAAGGACACTAGGCTGGGGAAAGCAGGAGGGGGGTTGGGAACAAGAAGGAGGGGTCAATGGGGAAAACGGGGGGTGGGGGGACATCTGTAATACTTTCAGCAATAAAAAAAAGATATTTTGTGTCCAAGAGAAGGACTCCAAACAGAGGCAGGTCCTTGCAAAGGTGGCCCTGGGGGTGGGGAATCCTGGGACTCTGCCGGAAACACCATCCTGGGAATACGCAGAGTAGAGCAGGGCCTGGTCATTCCCCATGGGCGGGGCTGGCCTTCATCATGGGGGGGAGGGGGGTTTCAAAGGCAACCTCGCTTGAGTTGAGAGAACAGACAAGACAGGGGCAGATGGTGTATACAAATGTAACATAGGAAAGGATATGGATTGGTTTGTCCTATCCAGTGGGGGATGTATTTTAACTTAGATTTCAAGCTGAGAAGTTTATTTTCACACCAAGGACTATTAGCTGGGCCTCACACAGAGAGAATACAATGTAGCAACCTGCACTCCTACTAGAGATCTAGCTGAATGGAGAAGCCCTCCAGGTCTGGCTCAACCAGTGAAGCTGGGAGCCAGTCCTCTGCATTGTATATTGGAAGAAACAGTTCTGTTTAAAAAAAATTTTTTTAAAGCAATTTGCTATATTTTGCACTCGGAGGAATTTTGACCGAGAGCGTCATCACGGACAGGAAATAAGGACCCTAAAATAAAGAAATGAGCTACGAAATAGAAATGAGATCGCCGATAACATCCCTAGGTCCCAGACTGAGAGTCAACCACCAGGCTACGTGGATCGTCTGCGTGGATGAGTGGGTGGGGGCAGGGAGATGCTTTGGAAACGAAGGCTATCATATTCTGCATCTGTGCTTATGGTCGTGTTTAGCTTAATTGCACAGGAACATGTTTAGAGGTTGTCACCGCAGAGCCTGCCTGGGAATTGCTGGGAGGCCGATGGCACTCGTCACTGCATCACGGCCTAGTGAAAGCTGGCCCTGGGCACTGGAACCTGTCTGGTGACTCAGCTGTGATTCCGGCGGGCAGAGGCATTGCTCACACGGTCGGTGTGTTTTTGCAGGACTCTGTGCTCCTCGGGCTCATGTTTATACATTAGCCATGCTCGCGGCTGCAAGCGCACACGGATAGAACTGCTCCGGAATCTGAGTGATGATGCCGCTCGGCATGGGATCTAGGGTATCGATTCGCACAAGTGGGCTACACGGTGCGCAGCCCGTCCTGAGGTCTTCCCTGGCGCTCCTTCCCACATGACACTCAAGAGACGGCCCTTCTGCTTGACCAGAGTGAAGCTCAACAACAGAATGGCTCATTAAACCGAGAAGCTGGGGGACTTAGGTTTAGGTCATACACGGTGTATGCCTTTTGCGTGGAAGTGAGAGTGTGTTCTGGGACTCTCTAGCGTGTTATTTTTAAAGCAGTCACTGCAATCAGTGTTTCTATGATGCATCAGGGGCCACAGGCCGGGACCTCGATGCAGAAGGGGAACACGACTTGGCTCCCCACGGAGTCAGAGCGGCGGCCCACCTACTGTTCCCCCTGGTTTCTGCTAGGCCGTCACGCTCCTGCCATCATTAAATCCTGCAGGTGGGCTGTGCCCACCTTCGCTTAGTAATATGTCGAAAACAAATGTAAATCCATTTTATTTTCTACCTGGCTCACCGGGGACAAGGAATTCCACAATTCTACCCGCCTCTGGGTGAAGTGTTACCGTAAATCTTCTGTATTATTAAATTCTCTGGTTTGGCTTCTGTGATATTAATCATTTCCGGTTTTTCTCCCAACTTCTCTCTGGTCTATTATTATAAAAGTAACTTCAACTACTGTGGGTTGCTTATAAATGCAGGAAACTTCTTCTTTTTTTTTTTATCCTCACCTGAGGACATTTTTCCATTTTTTGTACAGACAGAGTGGGAGGGAGAGAGAGGAAGAGAGAGAGAGGGAAACATTGACGTGAAAGGGACACATCGAGTGGCTGCCACCCGCACGACCAACCAGGGCCGGGGACAAACTGCAACCGAGGTACATGCCCTTAGCGGGAACCGGACCCGGGTCTCTCAGGACCGCAAGCGGACGCTCTAACCGCTGAGCCAAACCGGCCAGGGCGGAAACTTCTAATAGAGATAACCATTATTAAGTTTTGTATATTTCCTGTTACTCTATTAATCCTTTGTTCATATATGACGGCCTATTACCTAGTATTAATTTAACTACACAAACACAGATACACACACAGATCAACCTATTGGCATTAGACTGTGAAAGCAATTTTGTAGGAGTCTTGCATACTTAACCTGTAGGAAACACTGGGCTAAGCTCTAGTATACCGAGCGACCCTGCTGGTATTGGCTGTTTAGGTTGTTTTCTCATTTCATGTTACAGATTGTCCTACATTGAACATTTCAGTTCGTAAATCTTTAATTATTTTCTAATTATTTCCTTAGGGACCTGGAAGAAATGGTTTGCTTGACTGACAGTGTAATATTTTTGGAGACTCTTGATGTCTACTGTAAAGTTGCTTCCAGGATCATTTCATTGTTTTTCATTACTGTGTTGAAATGTCTGCTCACTCCATCCCTTCCAATCTCAGGGTAAAACCAGTGACTCATAATTGTTTAGATTTGTATTCCTAAAATAGCAATGCGTAAACATTTTTTTCTTTCTTACTGACCATTTCTTTTCTTTCTGTGAATTTCAAATCTTTGCTTCCTTTGTCTTTGGCATTCCTAGTGTTTTCTTGAATTTGCAGATCTCTTTAGATATGAGAGACTCTATCTGTTATATTGACAGCATTATCTCCTGTTTTTACATGTTCTTTTTTGTGTATGATTTTTCAGGAGTATTTGTAAACCATCTAAACTGGAAAAAAAAAAAGACCTCAATTCATCAATCTGACCCTGCTTTTCATCTTTTCTGCATTGTATTAGACTGTTAACAATCTCTCGAACAAACATCTGGCCAGGACCCTTTGTTTGTAACCTTTGACCCATTTCTCATTGCCCATCAGACCCCGTGCTGTCCAGCTCCTGTCTCTCCTGGACCCGCGCTCTGTGGCCCAGTTCCTTCCTACCCTGACCTGAGACTCAGCTTCGGTCTCTGGGTTTCTGGAACAATTTGTGGGAACCTGTCAGCAGACAAAGAGCACCTAGTACACGCTTATTGTAATTACGTCTCTCTCTGTACCAAGCCTACCGTATTTACTGCCTTGCTTCTCCCGCCACCTGCACACCCTTCGAGAGCTGGACTGTGCCCAGTGCCCACGCCCTGCCTGGCACACAGCAGGCACCGAATAACAGCCTGCCAGTGCCCGCCTCCGGGCCCCCACGCGTCTGGATATTAAAGGGACCCCACAGGCTTTGAAAAGAGAGGCAGCCCCTAAGTATTCCGCATCCAGGAAGCACCAAAAGGCCAGAGGGGTATAATTGATACACTGTTACTTTTTGGTTTTCTGAAAGGAGACAGAAAAAAAAAAAATGTACTAATTGAACAGCG